CCCCTGCCATGAAAAAGCCTCTTAGAGAAGGAAGAGTGGCAGCAAATAAATGTCATAGGTGGAAAAATTCACGCGTGGACAATGCACGTGTGTGAAGTGGAACAAATTGGGTTTGAGTTCAAGGTCTTTGGACCGGCCGAGAATTGAGCCACTTTAGGTCCCCTCCCACCCCCCATCACTTTCACCCTGAGTAGGAAAGGAGATAAATTTTTTCAGTTTCCCTTTGAACTTCTCTTCTAAATTTGTAAATGACTATCTTCGAACACAAAACATAAAATAGAAACTGCGGTGATTAAGGCTATGCTTGATACAGTTAATGATTATCAAAACGTTTCAGTCACAATTTCTTAACTTAGGGATAATAATGCACAGGGATAATGATGACTACTGCTAATGCTATTGCTAATGCTACTGCTACTTCTAATGCTGCCGCTGCTGCTGCTGCTGCTGCTGCCGCTGCCGCTGCTACTACTCCTGCTACTGCTGCTGCTGCTGCTACTGCTACTGCTTCTGCTACCACTACTACTACTATTAATGAAGATGATGATGATAATGATGATAATAATAATGAATAGTAAAAGTAAAAATATCCGGAGCTTAAAAGAAAAATTGCAAGGATGTGGAACATGAGAACTGTGAACGATTGTTGTAGGATCATTGGGAAGTGTGACAAAGAACTTATTTAAGAAGACCAAAGTGTTTACAAAACCGCTAATAGCGCCTCGATATATACTAATCAAATCCTTTTTTCTAGCAATCGGCTACAGCTATCCCAATGATCTTTCACAGGCGTTTTTAAAGAGGTTGAAACTACTATGAGGTAAATTTTCATTTCAAAAGCGCTTCGTTTTCTACAGATAACGACCGAACGTGAAGACACTCCAGTTTTTTACCGTATTGCTGACCATAAAAACTTCATCCCAAAATATCTAGATAACGCTCTTAAAGATTTTGCTTAAACTTTACGAACATCGAGGCGGCTATTGGAAGCCCAAACTCCCGTGAACGATTTTGGAAGAAGAGATTTAAGTGCTGAAAAATGCGGCTTCAAGTAAAAACGGTAATTGGACGTCAATTCGTTGCTATGGCAACTACGATGTAATGGTAACCCTGATCATAACAAATTATCATCTTTATCTAATACAGCTGGGATGGTAATTTTTCCAAATCTTTGTAAATGGCGACGTAGTTTATGCTCCAACTTGGGCAGTATTGACGCTGAAAGACCCTATCGAGCCACCTTAAATTATGGTTTCCAGCACATTTTTTTTTATTAAATCTATGTGAAAAGAAATACTTTGATTTCTTTAAAACTAAATTAAAATAGGAGTTTTTTTTTCTATAAGACACAGTATCAGATCCACTATGAATTGCGGAGGTTTGTTAAATCGCTAGGGAAAACAGAGAAACAGACTCTGCCCTCTCATCGACGAAATCCGCCAAACCGGAGCTCACCATCTTTTTTGTTGTTGTTGTCTCAAATACTCTCTACTTTAGTAGATATGTTTTTACAATAAAATACAAGTGAATCTTAATACCTAACTATCAGCCAGTTTTCCACCAAAGAATCAATTATTTCTTCATCTTTCTATTCAGGTGCCAAGAATCTAACAATTAACACAGTTTGTTCAATTTTTAAAATCTAATGAGCGGTTAAATAAATGTAATTTAATGTACCCTGTTTCTATTTATTCTGATTTTTCCTTTCAGATCAGTTATTAGTGACGCTGTGTTACTGTTACTGGGCCAATAGTTTAGTTTTAGTATTTATTTCACTTTTTCATTATCATCATTCTTTTAATCTATTTTCGTTTTTTTACTACTAAAAATTCTTATAATTCTACAAATAAATCTCTTGTTAGCCTTGCTATATAATAAAGACCTCTCATTAGCCGAGTTTTCGGTCCGTACGGTAAATTACGGACCGAGTTTTTTTCCATCGATTTATGGCCCAAGGGCGATAAATCGATGGAAAAAATGAGGATCCGTCATTTACAGTACGGACCGAAAAAACGAGGCTAATAAGATGTTTACTATATGGCTTCTTCCTGTTTGGGGGACCGGAAACAAGTTCAGGACGCACGATTTGACAGTCATTTGACAGGCGTCAAAAAAGAAAGTTTTTATTGGCGCACGAAAACAATAGCCCATAACAAAGGCTTTCCGAGAAAGTAAACACAAATTCTCCATGTTGAAAAAGTTTATTCCGTCAAAACTAAGAGCACTGTAAGTTTAAGCTCTTTAATGTAAAGCTGGTATTTTGGAAACCGGACACTGTCTGTCTAGAAGTCGTTTCCATCTTTCCTCCGTTTGTCCTCGTAAAGAAAACACTACAAAAGGCAAAGAAGCTTTTCAAGGTAAGTTTCTTGTCATTATCTAAGGATTCTCTCGTTAATTGTGTTTGGGAAAACCTCTCTTTCTGCCAGTTCATTCTCGTCTTCAATTGTGATCTGCGTTAAAATTCTCTTCCTCGGTAAGGTTACGATTCACTTTCTACATCAGCTTCGTTCTCATTAAAACAAAGCTAGGTTAAAATTTGGAAAGGCAAAGTCAACATCCCAGTCCTCAGGGTTTACAGACATATTTTAAAGTTTATTCGGTCAAAACTAAGAGCACTGTAAGTATTCACTCGTTAGTGTGACGCTGGAGTCTTTTGAAAACTGGGCATTGTGTCTGGCTCGAACTCGCTTCTCTCTTTCTTTCGTTGGTCTTTGAAAAAACACTGCAAATGGCAAAGAAGCTTGTCAAGATGATCGGGTGCAGGTATGTTTGTTATCGTATTTGTTGAAGGAATTGAGTCGAATCCGGCTATTTCGAAGTCCCAAAGGAATTGGAAAAAAAGTTCGAAATAGCGGGGTTTCGAAATAACCGGGGAAGCGTAAAGGGGAAGGGTAAATCCAAGGGAATTCGACCTTCCTTCGAAATAGCGGGGACTTCGAATTAACCGCGTTCGAAATAGCGGGGCTCGACTATACTCATTTCTCTTAGGCAATACATCTCAAATCTCTGCCAGTCGATTCTCGTCTTCTTAACTGTGTACTGCGATAAAATTTTCAAACACTGACTAGAATAGACCATTCCCGCATTCGTCACAAGCACGCGCGCGAAACATGAAAGTGAGGCTCGGGTGGACAAACATCAAACATGGCGGACAACACCTTGACTTCTTCGCGCGGTGGCCGTAGCAAATATTGTTGTGTCCCTGGTTACGAAAGTTCTTTTTACAAAAATCAGGGGGAAAAAACTAATATTTCATTTCTTTCTTTTCCTCTGGAGGCAAAAAGTAGGAATCGGTGGCTTTGGCAATAAAAAGACAAGAAAACAGAGACGGATTTGTTTGACGGAATACACTAAAGTGTGTGAGAAACATTTTCGCCCTGAGGAAACTAAAAACCAGTTCAGTGGCAGGAAAGATCTGAAAGACAAGACTACTATTCCTTCCATTTTCAGCTGGAATAAAAGTGCGAGCACACCTAATCGAAAATTACCAAAAAAGAGATGTTCTGAGCAAAATGAAGAAAATATTTAGCCTGAATCAGAACCACGTTATTTAAGCTCTAGGTTGCTTAATGAAGACAATGCAAGACCGACAGAGGCGTGTGAAAATGGCGCTTATTTGAGAAGAGTCGTGGAAAAGTTGAGGTTAAATTGTCACTTTTGATTAAACAAAAAAGTGACGTTGAAAAAGATTGGAGTGAGCTGAAAGCCAAAATACAAAAAGTGGAAAAAGGACAGTTTACATCCAAGAACATCAGAGAACAAGAAGGCGTTTTCAAGTCATTCACTGGTTTCCATCAAGTTAAGTTTGACATTCTTTTTCAATTTTTAAATCCTGGTGAGAATGCTAGTAATTCGACATACTATGAGCCTTCAAAGAATGGGTCAGATGAACCTGATGAATGTAAATTTACTGAAGGAAGTAAGCCTTAGTGTGAGGTTAAGGTGTGGATTTGGACAGAAACCTCTGGCGTGGATATTTGGACTTGGCAAATCAACCATTTCACGGTACTTGATCACCTGGTCAAATTACTTGTACTTCTGATTGGGAAATATTCCCATATGGCCTTCTAAAGATCAGATTGTCTCATCCATGCCAATATGTTTTAAGGACACTTATCCCTCAACAAGATGTATCATTGACTGTACAGAAATCTTTGTACAAGTGCCTTCTAGCCTAACTACACAGAGTGCCCTTTACTCACACTATAAGCATCATGTAACATACAAAGCTTTAGAGTCAGTTGTACACTGGACCACTGTCAGATAAGGAAATAGTTTCCAGGTGTGGCATACTACACCCAGAACTTTGGGAGGAAGGGGATTCAATTATGGCAGACAGAGTATTTACAATCCAGGAATTACTTGACCCTCTAGGAGTTAAGTTAAACATACCTGCATTTCTTGATGGCAAAGAGCAGCTTGACATAGAAGATGTTGTATTTAGTCAAACAATTGCCTCCGTTAGAATCCATGTAGAACATATTATTGCTCGCATCACGAAATTTAAAGTCTTAAAGACTGAAATTCCACTAAATATGAATGGGACCATAAACCAAATATGGACAGTGGCTTGTCTTCTACGTAACTTTATGGACCCGCTTATTAAGCAATAATAATGTTATGGTTTTATCATCATTTCCTTCAAAGTTCCGAATGATTTACAAGGGTCAAGTCGGTTTATGAATAAATAACAAAACTCAATTTTCCCTTTTTCAAGACTAACTAACTTTTCTTTTGACAATGAAAACACTTTCCCTTTTAGAATAATTAATATTTTGCAATAATTCAATTTCCACGATTTTCGAACAGTACCTTTCTTGAGATTACTGCACAAATCATTGCTCTCATAGAAACTGAACAGAAATTGTTAAGTAATTGTTGAACATGTACTACTTTTAATATTCTTGCCTTGGAAGTCATCTTTATAAGAATTCTATGAAATACTCCTTCTCGTATATTTTTAATAAAACACAGTAAAAATCTGCATACAAGAACCTAGATTTTTCCAACTTAGCCCAAGGTTCTTATAGAAACGGTATTTAGTGGGATTCTAGGCTACTTAGGTTCTTAAATAGGTTCTTAATTTGATAGGGGCACTAGTGATCAGCACATATAACTACTCTCGGGCATATGAGAGAGACACATGGATCTGTATTCTTAATAATTGCATTGTGTAATCCAGTATTGGCAAAGACATGATATGGTTTTCATTTTCGTTTATTTTTTGAATCTTACTGACTGAAACCTAGACTAAAAGTTTTTCTCCGTATTTTCATCTGTGTTTCATTTTTGTAAAATATTAACCTATTGAAAATTTTAGGCTAAATAGGTTATTATGAAAAGGGAGTTTAAAATAAACATTTTAGCCTAACAGGTTCTTAAATTTTAGGTTCTTATACGTGGGTTTTTACTGTACTGCAATAACATTGCAACTAGCAAAGTAACCTTGTCCTTGAAGCCCTAACACCCATCAACAGGAGTTTAAAAGCTAGATACTATGGAAAACTGGTACACGTTGTAATGTCCCCTTTTGCTCAGGCACACTGCACAATATACTAAATTTAGGCCATGACCTGAGGAAGAAACCACTTTACATAGAAGATTTTTACTTTACATACTACTTGGTCAAAATAATCTTTATTAAATGGAACCCTTGTGATGATCATCCCTTTAAAGAGATAGACTACAAAGTCAACCCACTCTAAACCACAGAAACCCATAACTAGCTGGACTTGGGTGTAATATCCTAGGTGATGATCTTTCTTCAGGTTGGGTTTACCATCAACTAATTCAATGTAAAACGATTCATCTTGCGCCGCCTCCTCTGGGGAGTGGTTCTTCTTTCCCTCTGGACATTTCATTTCAATTGTCCCTATCTTCCCAGATGAGGAACACGGATCAATAACAAGACCATCAGGACTGCCTTCAAGCCAAAACATGCATAGGGGAATCACCATCCCTGTCTCTCTCAAAATAATTGGCCTCTTCAAATAGTGCTCATGACATCATAATATTTTTCTCTTGCAAATGGCTCAAATTTTATGCCATGCTTTAGCTTTCTCTGCTGAATTGCTGGAATTTCATCTAGAGGCTTAAATGGCTGGTTAAGTTCCTTGGCAAGATTATTTATTTTTGCGGTGTTTTATCCACTCATCACATTCCCTTTGCTTAACAGTCCTTTTCTCAATATCAATACTTTCTTGGTGAGTTACTCTTAAGTTTTTAATGAATTTTTTTGCACAGTACTGAAATGAACAGCTTCAGGTAAATCTGGGAAATGGGATGGCAAGCTTACTTTGTAAATGTCACTTGAATCTGCTTGAGCAGGGTTAACTGCCGGTTCCAGGTTAGTGACAACAGTTAAATTGAACTCCAAAGAACTTAAATGAAAAGAGAGGGGAGATCCAATGACCACTCGTCCATACCTGGTGTCTATATTAGTCAGCAATTCAGGCTTTTTTGGGATGACATGGGAAAAACCAATAAGAGGATGAATTGATTCCAATTCGTTTTGCACTACTTGAACTCCACGGATGTCTAATCTTTTTCTTTCCTTGACTCTTGGATCATATAGAGTTGGTTTTATTCCCTTGTTCGTTAACTCCTTTTGAACTGATGTCTTCATTATGGGTTCTTTAGGCAGACCTTTCTCACCTTAGAACAACAACAGAAAAAAGTTTGATCACTATGTGAATAATGCTTAAGTCACTTCAAAACTTTCAGACACATCATTACAACTTTATCAAGACGTGCTTCAGCATGACCTATTCTATTATCAGTTTAATTCTTCTGCTAGCAGACGAAAACTGAACATGTTAACTACTTGCATGAGCTGCCCAAAGGTACAGGTAGGTACTTACAGCTAATTGAAATCAATTTATACTTTACCTGGAATACCCCATTTCCTTGACATGCTTGTACATGCTACTTCCTCAGGTATCCTTTCAAAGTCTTCCAAAGAGTAACGAGCGAGTTCAAGTAGAGGACTCATCACATGATTACAGTACCCACTTTTGCCAGCTCTGCAAGTACAGTGTGCTTCCCGTACATTCCCAGATGTTACATCGAGTGAAACTTCTAGTTCGTGAATTTTGTCGAGTACTCATGCTGGCGCGACACTTTGCTTTTACCATAAACGAGTTACCAAATACCTTCGTATACACTGTGTCTGATGAAAGATACCGTTCTTCTTGAAATTTTAAGCCGCGCTTCAGGGTTTTTTTAATAGGCTTCGAAACGTCGCCAGCCTTTCGTTTGCCACTATTGTTCCGGTGTTCTTCTATCTCTTTCCTTGTAAACACTGGTAAGCTTTTAAGAGACTTACACCACGGGATATCTTTCGCAGTTTGCGCCTTAGGCTTCTCGGTGTTGTCCGCCATGTTTGAAGTTTGTCCACCCGAGCCTCACTTTCATGTTTTCGCGCGCGTGCTTGTGACGAATGCGGGAATGGTCTATCCTCTTCGATAAGATTACCAGTTAGTTTCTTCATCGCCTTCGTTCACAAATAAACACATTTTAAAATGTTGAAGGCCAAAGTCAACATCCAAGTCCTCGAGGTTGACAGGCGTTCTCGAATGCCATAAACGCTAGTGCTCGAAGTTATATATCTAACCGTTACGTACTCTTTGAGAAAGCAGTCGTGAACAGTATCAAGCGTTTTACTTCCAATAACTCACTTATATAGGAAACCATTGAGGTCCATAAATTGTTAAAACGACGGTTTCAATAAAGCTCGGCCTTATCTTAGACTAGTTATTTTACAAAAAGTGGACTATCATTGGTTTGGAATTTTTTTATACTGAGCGACACAAGTAAGCAAATTGTTTGAGAACCAACAAGGGTTACGCTTTTTTGCTTGAATAATTATCTTTGCTCAGCAGGCTTTTGTTTGCCGCTTTCTACAGGAAATGCTGCTTTGGTATAAACAAGTTTCTAGAATATTAAGGTACAGAAGGGCAATCGGATACTTCGACTGCGTTTAAATTAATTTCATCTATTGTAGGTCAGAGCACGTACAGCTTCGAGCTTAGTCCGTTTATTAAAATAATTTTCAGCTAGTGTTAAGCATAAGCGCGTTCTAAAGCAATTTAATTTAGCCATAAACGCCTGTATTCTGTATTTAATAGCTCGTAGTACATATACTAACCGTTACGTACTCTTTGTGAACAGCATATCAAAACATTTATTTAAAAGCAGTTACAGGAAGACCCTCAAGGCCCATTAAAATAATTGTTTAAAATCACGGTTTAAATAAAACTCGGCCTTACGTAAAACGTAGCTATTTTACCAGAAAGTGCAATATCTTTCGGAAAGGGTTTGACAGTCACATGAGAAAGCAAATTATTTTACAACTAAAACACGTTTATAAGCTTAGAGAGATCTTTGCGTTAAGTAGAGTCGTAGAAATGCTGCGCCGATAACAAGTTTCTTGAATGATTCAGGTGCACATGCAATCAGATACTTCGAGTCACATTGTATTTTGGCAAGTCCGTACACAATGAACGGCGTCCAAAACGATAGATATGTTTTACTTTCATTGATTATTGAACTGTCTTTTCATCACTAATTCACTTCATCCATGAGCTCGCTCCTAGGAGCCTTTTATTGGTGTCTAGAGGCCAAGTAAACTAAAGTTATCTTGATGGCCCCTAGTTCTAAAATGTTTACATACACAGTAACTAAATTTACTAATACTAATTTGAATAAGGAACAGTAAAGCGAATTCCGGTCATAAGAAAAAGGACACTTAAAACTAAGTAATCTAAAGGAAAGTAAAAACCAAATAAATAAAAATAAAATTAGATTAAAGTAAGGTGAAATTAAAATAAAGCAAGCTAGGCAGACATGGGAGGAGTGGATAGTAAATAACAATAAGCAAGCATTATAGTTATAAATTAAGCTTACAAAAAATATGTATGTTTAGTATGATGCAATAGTAAGGTACGAATGAACTGTTCAGATATAAGATGAGATTTGATTTCTTTTTTGAAAGTGTAATCACTACATTGTTTTAAAGAGCGAGGGAGCTTCCCCCAAATATCAGTATTAATTGTTTTCCTAGATTGAGCATCTAATAATAATAATAATAATAATAATAATAATAATAATAATAATAATAATGATAATAATAAGTATACGTAATAGGAATACATGCTGACCACTTTGGAAATAATTCGTGGATGAAAAAAAATTCCGAGGACAGCCAAAATTGGACGAGACCGTAGGCCGAGTCCAATTTGGCTGTCAGAGGAATTTTTTGAATTCAATTATTGCAAATTCAAATTGCACAAGCATGTAGTCCTCTTACTTATTAATTATATAGTTGGTTAGTTAAATCAGATTTAGCATGTCACAGACGCGAAATATTGTACACTCGAACCCGTTTGTTTGTAGTTGAAACAAAAACACACTACAAGATCGAAAAAAGGTTTATTCTTTTAGTGTCATTCAACTTATTCTTTACAAGTAAACAAACGTAGGACTAGTATTGCTCTTTCATACTTTGGCATTTTGTTAAAGCTCCTTCAATGATCTGAATGATACGGTGCTATAGGTGAAAAAAGCAAATTCCAGCTCAAAGAAGACAAGGTAACAACGCAAATACTAAATTTAAATACAAAAACTATTGAAAATAAACATTTCATTCGTTATCTCAAACGATTTCCGAAGACTTTGTCCGTTGGTTTTTGTATTAAACGCCAACATCTAAACACAAGTATCAGTGTTTTCTTATTCTTGTCCAAAGTTTCAGTTCTTGTACATTTTCAAGAACCTATACGTTGATTGTTTGCAATACAAACTTTCATCCCCAGACAAGAAGCCAAAACAAAACAGCAAATTAAAACGACATTCACAACAACAAGAAGCCAAGAGTGTTCGCCGACGAACCGCCGTCAGCCAACGAATAATAATAATAATAATAACAGTAAATAAAAATAATAATAATAATAATAATAATAATAATAATAATAATAATAATAATAACGATTTGGAGGTGGCACATCCACATAGTCATAGTGGTTCTTCGTCTACCTGATTCCCGGTCGAATTGGAATTTCGAAATGTTGGATTTTGAGGAGAGGGGAAATCTGGACTACCCGGAGAAAAACCTCTCGGAGCAAAGGAGAGAACCAACCACAAACTCAACCCACATATGGCGTCGACGCCGGGATTTGAACCCGGGCCAAATTGGTGGGAGGCGAGTGCTCTCACCACTGCGACACCCTTGCTTTCCCCTAGATACTAGTATCTAGTATTGTAAGAGTGCTTGTCACTAGCATATTGGAAGTTAGAGTGAAACAGCTTAGGTAGCTGGTTTCTTTGCCACTTGTTAGCAAATTTAAGGCATGAAGCTGAAAAACATCTTTTACGGTTAGTATATCTAGTAAGTTAAGAAGTTGTAATAGCATTCTCTGTCTCTTTTCCATATGTAAGAACACAGAATATCACTCTTATAACTGTATTCTGCTTTACTTGAAGTTTATGGATGTTTGTCTCGCAGGTACTATCCCATGCAAGAATGCCATATGATATGTGCGGATAAATCAGGGAGTAATAAAGTTGTTTTAGTTGTTGAAGGACCATCCTAAAAATATCTTAGTTTATACAAAACACCCGTGTTTCTAGCTATTCTGGTAGCAACATAGGACATGTGATCGATCACGAGCCCCAAATATTTGACGTGGTCTCTCCTTTCCAAGAGGTGGGAGGATCCATCACTGTTTTGAATCTTTAAAGTTATATTCCTTGCTTTTTTCTTAGGTGACTTTATTACTGAGCCTAAGATTTGTCTTCTTAATGTTAATCAACATTTTATTTATATCACACCACAATTAAATTTTGGCTAATTCTGAGTTCGTAACTGTCTCCGGCGTCTCAGCAGATTGCGAAGAGGCAAATATATTACTATCGTCAGCAAAGACTCGAAATAGTACCTTATTAGAAGAATTAATTATGTCATTGATATATAATAAGAATAGCAAGGGACCAAGACAACTTCCCTGAGGAAATCTACACCTTACAGTTTCCTCTGTGGAGTTAAAACCATTGATTGAGACACACTGTTTTCGATTCAGTAGTCAGATAGTTAGCAAACCATTGCAGAGGTATACCTCTAACTTTGTCAGTAGTATCTCGTGGTTCACAGTGTACAAAAATACCCCACAAGTAAATAGGTTGCTGTCTATTGCTTTTTAAAGTTGTCTGTTATTTCCGCAATTGCCTGCTCTGTTGACATTCCTTTCCGGAAGCCAAAGTGAAATTTGTTTAGGATGTTATTTTTTTCTATGTAATTGTTAAGCTCTTGACACACAAGTTTCTCAAAAATTTGAGTAAACGGAGATAGAACAGAGATCAGGCGAAAGAAGGATCACTGAAATTGCCCCCTGTTGGTAGGAGTGTACTTTGGAAGTTTTTAATACATCTGGGACAGTACCTTGAGTGAGGGAGTAGTTGAATACTGTGAAAGGTTTGAACCCAGGAGTCATTTCAAAAGCAGGTTGAGTTTGATCGTCCCCGTGAACGTAGTCCTGAATAGGACTGTTGTTGACAGTGACTCACGTTTCGACAACCTCTGCTGTAGTCATCTTCAGAGTCAAAGTGGGTTGTATCACGTCAGTTGATGGTCTTATACTCTGGTTATTGATCTGATTGGTCAATTACGTCGCGATGTTATTGGTCGTCTGTCCGTTAAGCCGTGATGTTATTGGCTCTGAAGAATCGTATAATCAGTAATTGATGCGTTTCGATCCGTCTATTGTCACGGTTAAGCAGTCGTCTATTGTTAGTCAAATTGTAACTGTTGGCTACGATTCAATGGCGTTTGTTCTAAGTTAGTAGGCCAGCTTTCTAAAGTAAGACGTTGATAGTAGTCTGTAGAAAACGTTATACATGTCGCAGAGTCCCAGTCAATTTGATGTTTCGTCTGTAAATGGTGCTCAGCAATGTGATTGGTGTGAATACAATTGTTAAAGCTTCAGTGATATTTAAATGAGCAATTTTTAATAGTCTTGCTGGAAACCCAGTCGTGGATTTGGTGATATTTAGATTCATAATGCAATCCTGCACTTCATGAACATTAATGGCGCGAAACATGAAACTGAGTTTTTTTTAGATAATTAGCTGGGTTTAAGTTTAGATGTAGAGGGATTTCTGTAGCCAGAGTTGGGCCCACAAAGTTTTAGCTTTTTAAAAAGATAGCAAATAGCATGTCGTAGCCCCTTTAAGCTTGTCGTCACTTGAAGGTCGGTATTGCATGTAATAAAACAAAACTGAGCTCTCATTGTCTCACTCTTCCATTCAGTTAAGTAGATATGTTTATATTAGGCGTCACTTGGAGCGTGCCATAACATGAGTGAGACCCAGTTCTTACGACGCGCTTCTTCCGTGTCGAACTCAAGTGTAATTGGATTCAACAAAATCCCGGCAAGACTTCAATTCAGACGTCGTGCCAGAGTAGTGAACTTAGTATCAGGTTAGCTGTAAATGAAACAAAAAAATATAGAATTTCCGAAATTAAGCAATTTTAGTTCGACACGGCATTTGCAAGGCTGTTCCAGGGAAATGGAGCACGGCAGACCTTCCCTTCTCGATCCAAAATTACTCTGCAGAACCAAATTCAAAACCAGGCTTTGATTCAAACGTCGTGCTTCGCCGTGCTTTTGTGGAACTTAATTCTGGAATTTGCAGAGGTGCGGCGTATGAACTGGGGCTAAATGCTCTTTGTCTATGTGAAAGCTATTGCTATTTTTGATCATTTCAACGTAGAAATGACGTCGTGTTTCAATGTCGTCCGAAATAAGCTGCACAATTGGGGAAAAACTATTAGGAGTTATAAAATCTACGGCAATAGATTGTTGATCAGTCCATTCAGCAACACCCAAAGCTGCAAAGTCAGCTGTTTAAAACTGGTTACCAGGGTAGCATTAATTGCCGGAAAAATACGCAGTGAAGGATGTAGATTTCTTTAGCCACCATTTTGCTACTTGAAAATTTTCCAAGTGAACCTTAAGAGAGTCACGACGGTTATTTAAAGTTAAAAATCGAGTTTATAACCAAAAAGCGCTGAGACAGAATTACTTTCAGATATTACTCAATTTTAACTTTTGAGTCTGTGAACAAAATCAGTCAAAATCAGTCAAAATCGGCCATTCAAACGGATACATTTAGCAGTCCTATCATTATGGACCAACCTCTTTACATTTTTTTATTTTGAAGTGATACTTTATTCCTGGTTAAAACAAAAAATGCTTTACTTAAAATCGCCATTAACTTCTCTGGGCTATATTCTGTCATGGACAACCACAAAAGCACTAGCCACTACATTCAAAGTTGATGAAAATTCATTAAAAGGGCTTTTTAACGACTCCCACTGTTTATTATTTCGGCCTTTCTCAAAATAATTTCTTGAATTTTGATGTTAATGATCATTGAGAGTGAGAGGTTTTAAAATGGTTGACAACAAAAGTGGAACTTATGTACACTTGGAAGTTTCTGACAAGATTTCTTTTGCTTAGTGTGTGTCGAGTTTCCTGTTTCCCTATGGAAAAAGCAAATTTTAACCTTAAATTAAAAAGGAGACTTGACAAGGCAAAACTTGCCAATTTTGTGGTACTACACGCAAGCGAATGAAAGTTGACAAATGGAAACATATGTTGTCATGAAAAGGAAACATATTCCTGTGAATTCAGCTTCCCTCGCAGGCTTTAAAAACTTTAGAATTTTGAGATGGAAGCGCCGAATGTTTCCAAAAACGTAATACAAAGCAAACAAGTGATTACCACGCCTTTGCCTAGTTCTTTCGGATGTACAATGAATGACAATGAATGAACCGCACCTTTTAGGCCACTTAAAGGGGTGAGACAAAAAAAGTCGGAAGTTCAATTTTAAAGTGCTTTCTTCCTCTTAAATTACAATCAAAAGCCGTCTTAAATTGTGGATTTACACTGTTATCGAAGGAAATATAAGCCCTGCAAGAGTTTGCTAAAGGGGAGATGAAGGAGAGAACGCAGTAAACCATTTTATTCGCAATGCGGAGCGGTGGGGTCCAAATCGAACAAAAAAATGACAATATATGAATGTACACCCTTTTCGTTTGTGTTTATCTTTTATCTTTTATTTTTTAGAGTTAATTAAATTAGGCAACTGTTGTGCTCTAGTCAAAAGAAGAAAAACGAATTTTATCAATTTGATTCCAATTACTCGAGCAATTTTATCATGCCTTCTAGCGACGCTTTCAATCGGCCTTTAGTCGAAAGGTAGCTATTCTTATAATTCAAACGAAGATAAAAAGAGAGAAAAAAAAGCAAAAAAAAAGATTCGTTGTGAGAAGCGATAAATGTCAGCCGACACTTGATTACGACAAAGTGTTTTGTTTTGGTTTTTGGTAGATATAGTATCACATAGCGGGTTGCGCATCTAGAACGTAATATAAGTTTGTATTTTGATAAAGTTTCCTAATTTCCACACTGCGAATACATTTGTACGAGTGTCGACTTCGATTTAATAGGTCTGCACTTTATCCGCTAAATGCGACAGAATTGTTACTCAGCATTGAGTAACACAGGCACCTATGCTAATAAGAGGATAAAATGCTGAAAAAGGTGACAAACGATTAAAGATTTGTCACTTCTGATAAAAATCGGTCTATACTATATTACATTCTGAAATTCTTTGGACAGGAAGGACGAAGCTACCCATCATGCAGGAAAAATGGTGTTGTATCCGAACAACCAACTATAACCTCGAATATTTTGTGACGAAGTATGAAATACAAGGAAAGACATGTTTTCGATGTTTTGGTTTCTAAGCTTTCTTGCTAATTCAGGTAGCAATAACACAGAATTGAATAACAGCATATTGAAAAACAAGGTCCGAATGATATTGCACAGTTAAATTTTAATTCAATTACTCCAAAAACATAGGCAATGTTTCGTCGAATAATATCTTCATACGGCAGTGCGGATAAAAATGGTTTTTCTTCGCCAAATTTCAGTGGTTTGTCTTTTTTTGCTGAGAGAAAACTATTTTCCGCGATATTGAGAAAAATATCCGGTAAAATTGTGAAGATAAATTAATTGGTCACACTTCAAAAGACTAACCGCCGTTCTGGAAGTGGGTGGATTTAATTCTAAGAACGGTAAATGGAGTATAGAAAACAAAAAAGGTCGTAGACAACACTTATCCCCTTTAGTAAGAACAAGTATAGCTAACATCTGAAAGATCCTTTTAAAAGCCCAGGGTGATTCGTAAACAGTTTGGAACTAAGTCAATAAATAAATGATTCGTATACGCATTGAAAAGAGCATTATTTACATATAAAATTGAAAGTTTGTTTTCTGTAGTTTCTTTTTCAAAATAGATTTCATGTCATTGTATAGGGGAAGGGGAAAAGCTGTATAAACAAAAATAGTCATCTTTCATGCAATGTCACCGAGAACGGACAAAAAGCAGAATTCAAAGGTGACGTTTGCTTCTTAATTAGACTAAGAATCAAATTCTTTTGAGAAACTGATTTACCGGCTTAGATGTATGTTTGAAATTGTTCAGTGTTGGTTTCTGCGGTAAATGTTTCTTTATCTTATAAAAGTCAAGGCAGTCGTATCTGCTACAACCGGTACAACACTGAACTGGCTGTGGAAACAGAGAAGATTGTTCTCGTACAGCAAGGCAAGTGTGGAGTTTGGAGACTAATTACCATTCTTCGAAACCTCTTAAATACAAGTTGACATTTGCATGTTCAACCACTACGGTTTAATCAATTATTGATAAACAGCGGGGGTCTAAATTGCGGCAGAAAATGAAATAAACAGCGATTAGAAGGAGAAGTAACTTCCTACAGACCAGAGGGTGATACTCTGCTGGAAAGATGCCTTTCTACAACGGAAGCAACGAAGAGGTTTTTGCGATCGAGAACGCCACTGAAGTGACAAATTTTAGTTCTCCTGAGCAGATAACCAAAAGTCCTATGTGTACTCGTGGTTTTTACTGGCCAATTCACTCTCCCTTGATCGCGTTTCTCTTGCTAATTCTGGCAGCAAACGGCATCGAGATTGTTTTGATGGCTTGGAAAGAAGCACTAAGGACAGTCAGTAACATGTTTCTCGTTTCGTTGGCTGTTTCTGATTTTCTCTTTGGACTCGTTGGGATTCCTCTTTACATAATTTGCTCGTTGGAAATTTCATTTAAGGCCTGCGTAAGTTCCGTCCTAGTTGTACGATTCACCGCCATATCCTCAGTGTTTCACCTTCTGGTTATCGCTTGCGACCGTTACGCAATAATCGTTCACTCCATGACATATCACCAGCGTTTGACGAAACCGCGAGCTACCGTCCTCATCACGTTCATCTGGTCACTAACGTTCCTGTCATCTTTCATTCAACTGTCCTGGTACAACGTCAGCAGCAAATCTTTGGCTATCAAAGAAGGAAAAGTCCAATTTGATAGAGTCTATTTGCTATTTGTGTTGGTGGTGTTCTTACTTATGCCCTTATTGTCAATGCTTCTCGCATACAGCCACATCTTGTTGATTTCCTTCCGACACATTTTTGCTGTACGACGGCGCCAAAGAAATCTAGATCAGCGTCTTGCGCCTATCGTGCATGACCTAAGAGGAACCTTCATCCTTGCGACAATGATGCTGATTTTCATTGGATGCTGGCTGCCTTTTTTTATTCAAATGCTCCAAGATCACATCCCAGAGAAGTTCTTTGTTATTAATCAAAACTGGGGTTTCTGTGTGATCATTTATCTCCGTTTTATTCCTCCACTGACGAATCCCCTTCTCTGTGCTTTCTGTAAAAGGGATTTTCGTCGTGCCTGGTCGAGTCTCATTCGCCAGCCATGGTGGCCGAGTCCTGCAAATCTTTATTCTCTTCCTTCATTCTCTGGAGCACGTGACAGGACAACCTCCACGGTCAATGACGCGACATGCAGTGAAAGACCAAACAGTATTTAACATAGCCTGGGGCTTTGAACAGAGTTGCCATGGGGAACTAATTTGACATTTCCGAACAGCATATGGAAGGAGTTTTGCATCGAAATGACTCCCTACTGTGTTTTTCTTTTATCAACATTACCAGTGATAAATGTAAATCTGCATTGTTCGCTTGCATCAAAAATCCACCCAAAAGTTTGTCCGAATCCAAATCTAAAGCCACAAATTAACGTTCACTATTTCAAGGGCGAAACGTTTCCCTGTAAGGTTTTCTATGATGACAAAACAAATGGATTTCCTATTTAGGCTCTCATAATATATAACAGTGCGTCAAGTGCAAAGATTTTTCTGCTTTTACTGTTAAGAAAGTTTTTCGTTCTTTTGGTAACTATCTTTGATTAGCTATTTTGGTATGATTTAAATTGAGATTGGCTTCTTAACCGTGAGCTTTTTCACAATCATTCGTTCTATGATATCAAGGCATCGGCTAAATTTACGATATATCGACCCGAGCTTCTTAAATCCCTAGCCACAGGAAAAAATGGGTACATTGAAATTAAATTTTGTACCATTTGTGTAGCAGAGGATCGAGGATACCTTCGTTTTCATCTAAGCTAAAGAAATCTATAATTAAAAGGATGGATTTTCAGTTGGTAAATAATCATGGAAAACAACACAAGTGCGTTCACAACAAGAGTTCAGTTCATAGGCAATTTAATTTCTAAGAGTAACAGAACATGTTCAATGTTCATGTTGAATTTAGCCTAATGTTAACCTCCTGAAAAAAATGAAACGTCATAGGATACAAGTATAATTATTATACCACTAGATCCGTGTGAATTTGATTTACAACTTCAGTTTATTGGTGCACTGCTGTCGATGTTCACGTCTTTAAGGTAGTTTAGCCAGGAGAATATTATGGATGCGCAGTAGACAATGTGGGTAATGGCATAAAAGGCGGTTTGTGAAGTTGACAAAAAGAATTTGGTCGTCAACTTATGGCCTAAACGATACTGAAAAATATGATAAGTTTTTTTGTGCGAGACGAATTCAGCACAGAGACGTGTATGTTGTTGTTATCGCCCGCTTACTTTAGTAACATGTCCGGTCACATGACAAAGCTTAGCCAAAAGGAAAAAGAAAAGCACCTTCCCGTGTGACTGTTTTGTGAGACGTTTTTGGGTTTTGCCGCGTTTTCACTTAACTTGGGATTAAACGATTAAAGAAACCGCAGCATGACATATCGGCGGCTAATTTCTGACAGAAACGCGGTGAAAACCGCAAGTTAAGTAAACTTGCTGAGAAACTTATGAAGCTTTCTTCACAGGGTGCCCATTCAAATTGTGTAAGTTTGAAGCTGTTTGGATTTAGAAGTGAATTAGAATATCGGAAAGATTCAAATTATCGTAAAACACTGCGCTTGATATTATCAATAAACTCAAAATAAACGTTTTGTGCCCAAAAAGTTGTGTATCGCCATTCTTGTAGCTGAAAACGGCGAATTTTATCGATTTTTAAGGGTCTTGCGTGGGACGTTTACCTTGAGAGAGAGCGTTTTCACATGACGTCACGGGCGGCCATATTGGTGTTCAAAAACAATAAAACGGCGGCCATGTTGGTGTTTCAAACCAATCCTATGGGAATTGAACTTTTTTCTTATGTAAACGCTTTCTTTTGTTCCAATAAATTTGCAAGGTACATTATGGGAGATGTGCAAGTGGCGTATTGCACGATAACGTGCATCCCGCCGACGAATTTATGAAAGGGCATTGCTATTATCATCCAGTCATAAGCTTGAAAACGGCGTGACTGTTAAACTCTAGCTACGATTCTATCGAGATTCGATTGCCGAGTGGATTTCCAGCAATCGAATTGCAATATTACTTGAGGTCTAGCTCTTTAAGTTTTGGACAGATTTCAAATAATTTAATATGTACAAGAGGGAACGTCTAGGTTTTTGCTTACCTGATGCGTGGTTTGGCATCTGTCCGAAGCGAATCAGTGTTGGTAAAATCTGCTTGGCGCTGGACCCATCCTATGGCTAATTATTTATTGAAGTGTATTACGATGCTATGAACCTTTTCGATGTCCTCGTACGTTTCCTCTAAATTAAACAGACGAACGGTCACAAGTTTTGCGTTGTGTAGCCTTTCCTGTGCTTTCCTGTAGATCTGGATTGACCAGTAAAAAAAAGACGAAGTAGAAGAAACAGCAGCATCATCCTCACGGCGAAGAAAGACCAAACTGAAAAAAATAAAATGATTTTTAAAAGATTAAACATTATATTAGAGATATTAGGCAAATTTTAATGAGTCAAGTATTTTTTTTAGTAGGTTTGCTGTTATTTTCCGAGCATGGTATACTGGAGATATAAAAATGTATTTCAACCAATAAAATTTAACAGGGAAATCAAAAATGAGATGGAAAGGGGAAAATACAAAAAGTTATTCGCTATTAATCGTAAGTGTTCAAAAAGTAGGTAATTAAAAGTATAAAATAGATTAAAAAGAGGTATTAAAAAGCCAGCTTCGGGTGTTGGTCCCTACCGTTTTTCAGTCTTTTTACTGCAACTATACTCTCTACAGAGTGTTTTCACATGACGTCACGGCGGCCGTATTGGTGTCCGAAAACAATGAAACGGCGGCCATGTTGGTGTCCCAAACCAATCCTGTGGGAGTTGAACTCTTTCTTATGGAAACGCTTTCTTTTGTTAAGATAAATTTGCATAGATGCTGGCCACGTGAGTGAAAACGCTCTATGCAGACGGAACACTTTTGAAACCGCCAACAGACAATTCATAAGTGCTTTATACGGTGAAAAATACCTCAAAATCAAAATGTAGGTGCTGTACTTGACAGCAAATTGCAAAATGGTTGACACTTGGCAGTCTTGCTCCAGTTCGCAGAGTGTATACTAGTACGCTTTTACACCACGAAGCCGTGGGCGTTTTCCTGTAGTGAACGTTTGATCGCATAATGAGGAATAATTTCACTTTTCTCTGACAATTCAATTTACAAAGTTCCAGTTTAAGCTGTGTCGTACAAGTTAATCAGACGTATTCATTGCTAAAAAGTTCAGCTATTAACTCACTGGTGTCAGGTTACCTCGACCCTCTAAGCCGGACACTTCTCTAAGACGGACAGTCATGGCCGGTCCCGAAGGTGTCCGTCTTTGAGAGTCGACTGTACCCAGTTATAACGATTTTCTCCAGTGCCTTGGCACTCCGGCGTGAAAAAGCAACTCGCCGTTACCGAAAGTCGCTCTTGTCGCGCGGTTTCCATCGTCGCTTATCAAGAATTGTTTTGCTTGGTACCTCTACTAGCGAGCTCGATCAAGCACGCGAACGACTTTGGTGGAAACGAGAAAATCAATAAAAAAGCAACAGGTTGAATAAGCGAAACAAAAACTCTGAACATGCAGCACACTATTTGGCAGCTTTTTTTGCCGCCATCGCACAACTAACGGTTTCAAACTTGATCGTCGTGACTTCGATTCCCGTCGGAGAAGTGAATACCTTTACAGAGTCTCATTAACGTAGCAAAATTGTTTTTAACAATATTTATTCGAAATATTTCTCCTTTTGTTATTCTCTTACATCCTCAAGTCAATTCTTCATGACCAGCTAGCACTGCCCAAATTTGGAAGATGCTTAGATTATAACGTCATTGCCGTCCGTCACTGAGACGTCAATGACTATATATAGCAATGCTCAAGCTGACGTGCGCCATGCTATTCTCGGTTTTCACATGACGTCACCAAATGTCAAACTAAGAAACTATCGATTCTTCTGAGTTTCTGAGTTTCATGAGGTATTACAGCACCTAAACACCTTTTTTTAAACACTGAGGAACATCTTATTTTTGAAGCTGTACGTCTAATTTCATTGACGATAAAGAATTTTTTGTGTTGTCTGACCTTTTCGAGTGGAAAAACACCTGCTTTCCGTACGAAGATTATTCAATTTTCAACCTGAATGAGATGACCAAGTCCGAGTGTCTGTCAGTGTTTAGATTTGGAAAAAGAGACATTCTGATATGATAGCTGTTTTCCGTATGAAGTTTATTTCCTCTACATTAAAGATGTATGATTTGCCTTACCTAAGTACGTACAAATAAATTTATCACTTACGAGTTCGCTAGCTCGCTCGGCCCCCACAGTTGTTGTCATTCTTCGAAGTAAAAACAATTCATTTGTCGAATTTTCAATCAACATCGCTTTTTAGGAGAAAAAAGGAACGATACCTGGATTTACGAGGCTAAGAAAATACAAAGGACTTCAAAAATCGCTTAAAACAGTGGATTTATACCTGCCGAAGCTTATGGATTGCAGGACGACGTGATTCTACTTTGTTTGGCGTCGTCGACGACACCACGACGACGAAATTTACTGGTCGCGCTTGCGCAGTACGCTGTAACTCACTCCCGGTCGTCGTCGACAAAGTCGTCGTCGTGGTTCTTAAGTTCCCTATTATCCGCAATCAACGTCACCCAAGACAGCGGCGCGGAAGCTTCGCTGTTTTGGCTTGAGGGCACAACTGAAGAAAGTGATAAAGAGTTCACGGATATGCGACGGAGAAATAGCTGAATCAATGAACACCGATTTCAATTTAACACCAAATGTAACGTTTTTGCTTGCAACTGTTAGCTGTTAGCTCCTAACATCACACATTTGCTGAAAATTCAATTGTCGGCTGAGCTTTTTTTGTGTGTACCATAGATCAGCTTTTCTGCGAATAACACCTTATAGACAATAACTACAAGGGCGACTCGTAAGCGTAACAAGCAACAGTACAACAACAAATATCCGCGTTATGGAGTCGTAGCAGTAATCAGAATTGTGGGCTCCAAATTACAAGAGAGCTCAAGAGTACCCGCCAGTCAGTAGAGTTAGAGGTGCACTCTACTGTCAACTTTTATGAATAAGCAGCCTTGTGAAAAGTTTGATTTTAAATCCAGTTGATTCTGGGTTGGGGTATAGATATA